CATGTGCTGCTGATATGATTAGTCAATTAATGTTAGCTGGTCATTTTGTGTCAGGATCAAAAAACAGTGAAATTTTTTTTTTTTGCGAAAAGTAATTTTTTTTGGCCAATGAAGCTTTTAGCAATTATTTAGCAACAGCTTAAGCAGTAAACTTTGCAAAACACAAAATGTATGTCACTGCCAAAACTTTTGGCCATGACTGTATATATACAGTATGTTGGGGTCAGTATGATTTTTAAATGAAATTAATACTTAATTCCGCAGGAATTAAATTTATCTAAAGTGACAGTAAAGGCACTTTTACACTGATACAAAAGATTTCCATTTCAAATAAAAGTTGTTGAACTTCAAAGAATTATGAAAAATGTATCCTGGTTTTTGCAAAAAGATTAAGTTGTATTCAATATTGATAATAATAATAAATCTTTTTTGAGCAGCAAATTAGTATATTAGAATGATTTCTGAAATATCAGTTGACACTGAAGTAAGTACTGAGTAACGGCTGCAAAAAAAAAAATCAGCTTTGTCATCATAGGATAGGAATAAATTACATTTTAAAATATATTCAAATATAAGTTATTTTATATTGTAATAATATTGTTGTTTTTATTGTTTTGTGATCAAATGAATGCAACTTTGGTAAGCATAAGTGTCTTTTCTCAAAAATATAAAAAAAATAAAAATATTACTTCACTTTTTGTGTATTTATGTTTTCTTTTACATTTCTGCTTTGAGTTTTGTTAATTGTTTTATGGTTGTTTCTGTTTCATGAATTGTTTTATGGTTTCACTCTCTTTTTTTGTTGTTTTTTTACTGTGCACATTTAGCTCTTATAGGTTTTTTGATGGCAGGTTTCACTGACAACTTACATCATATGGCGTGAAAACATGCCCCGCCATGGGGGCATCTCATATCCATATCCATATCCATCTATAGTTTTCTTTTGGTGGAAAGGTTTAGTAGCTGTTTTTGCAACCAAGACTGTAACGTTTTTTTTCTATACAGAATTGAACCACCTTGAGAAATGTTCGCTAGTGAGTAGTATGACCATGCTCTGTTCTGCAATTGCTTTTTGCAATAGTGTTAAAATCACAAATAATACAATGCATACATATAATACATTGATACTTATTTTATTTCAATGCATTATCATTTGCAGTAAATTTAGTTTAGATAATCTTTAAATACTGAGAAATGCCTAATTGTGAGAAATGTTGAAATATTAAAGCATGCATTTTTAGATCACATATCTGACATTTTAGTTTCACACTCCATTACATTCAAACTCTGATACAAGCTCATGCTTAGATCCACTGCACACTTCTAACTGTGTGAAACTAACTACAACTGATTGAACCACCTCTTGCCCTGTTGCCAAGTCAAAGTGAATACTGCTCTCTCGCTGCTTTTCTCATCCTGTTACCAGGGTCTTAGGTTTTTTGATCTTCTTCAACCTTACGAATTCTTAATTAAATAGATGATCAATCTGCATGCACACAAGACATTTAAAATTAATAATATTTCCAGATTACATCAAGTTTCAACTTATTTCTGAATAAAGTTTATTTTTATGTCCTAAATGCGCACGCTGAAGATGTATATTGTAAAATATACATTATATAATCGTGTGTTTTCTGAACAAGAATGAGGTCGTTCTCAGATTCTGAGTGCCCTCTATTTATCAATGACACTCCGCTGCAGACTAGTGCCTTTCACATCTGTCAGAGGAAAACATTTTATGTTTTATTTTTCAGTTTCCCTTTGTTTTTCATTTCATTCTTTGTGATTTGTCATTATAATAACATTTGCAGTAAGAATAGCTGTTTTGTGATATCCATCCTTGCTTCGCTGCCATGAAGACTCTGGTACATTGATAAAGGTTACACCATAATTTCATCACCAGCTTGCAAAGAATCCTGCCCCCATTAATGTTTTATGTTCTATCTGGGGTAACATTAGAAATGCACACATGGGTTGTAAGAAATTCTGTTGCTAAGGTGCCAGTTCTACTCTTACATCTGTAATTAGTGGGAAATTATGATAATTTTTCTCTTTTTAAGTAGCATTTAAATGAAAGAATATATCAAGGCTGAGTAATCAATCAATTTGTGAGATTTCGAGACGTGAAAGCACTGTGGGAGTGTGCTCTGTTTTCCAAAGGAATTATGTATTTTGATGGGTTTTGGGGGGTAATAATATGGGGTTTGAAAGGAAAATATTGAGCTTATCACTGTTCACAGTGATATCAGACAGACCAAAAAAAAAAAAAAAATCACACATTCCCTGCATGAGAACGAGAAAGATTAATTATTTTATTTCATCAGATCAGACTAATGATAAAAAAAAAAAATGCTAGTTAATGTTATTGTCACGCCCCTGGACTCATTGTGTTGTGTTTTCCCTCCCCAGGTGTGCCGTGTTCCCTTTAATTAGTCATTCCTTGCACCTGTGTTTTCCCAATCACCCAGTGTTTAAAAACCCTAGTCCTTTCAATTGGTTTTTGTCGGAGATTGAATGTCAACCCCTGTGTTTCCTGTGTTCCCATCTGCCAAGCGTAACTTCCTGGATATTCTGAATTAAAAGACTATTGTTGTTCATGTGCTCCTGTTCTCCTCGTTCCTCGCTCCGCGCCATAGGCTAAAGTGTGACAGAATCTCCGACCAATACAATTACCTCCGTTTGTCTACCCTTTGTTTTGTTTCCGGGTTTTACTCAGTTTTTTTGTTTTTGTAGTGTTTTCACATGGATCCCTTCACTCGCCCCGAATTCCTCCTCCTCCTGCTGGAGCAGGGAGACAAAGCTCTCGAGGACCATACCAAACTGTTCCTGTTGGTCGCTAACATCACCAGCTACCACCGCTGTCGTCTGGCAGCCCCTCTGCTCGCCCTCAGCCCACCATCATTGCGGTGCGAGCAGTGTCGCCGTGGTCGGAGTCTCCTTCGCTTCCAGCCTCCGAGGCCCGGACTCTGCCTAGGCCTGTTGACCCAGTGGCTCCACCTCGGCTCCTAGCTCCCTCGCCTCCACCATCACCCATCGATCCATCAGCTCCACC